TCTCTCTCTCTCTCTCTCTCCCCCTCTCCCTCTCCCTCTCCCTCTCTGAGGATCCTGCCCACACCGGCCTCTGCTGCCAGGGAAGAGCCCTCCCTGAGTGAGGGGGCGCATGGCCTTCTTCCGGGGCTGGGGGGCGCTGTTCTCACCACAGCAAAAGAGGGCGGTGGGCTGCAGGCCGGTCTGCAAGGGGCTGCTCCTGCCAGATTTCCAGCTGGGCGGGGAGAGGGGAGGCAGCATGTGCCTGGAGCGCCTGGACCTTGGCTGCAGCTGCCATCCTGTGGCAGGAATTTGGGATTGCACCCCAATTTGAGCTGGCAAAGGCAGAGAGAAGCTCCCCTTGCCCGGGGTAGCAGCTGATCTTTGGAGAACTTGGTTGGATTCCTCCTCTATTCCTCTCCTGCCTCCAAAGCACGCCAGTCCTTCAGGTTGGTCAAGTTCTGAACGTTGCGGCTAGCAAGAGCTGAATGTCTCTGAGGGCAGAAGAGACCCCCCCCGCCCCCCCCCGCCTGGCAGGACGATGCTGTTGGCAAGAGAAGGTTTTGCAGGGGGCGGCCTGGTCTCTCATTAAGAAACAGAAATGAGTCCGGAGACGCGTGTGCTTTCTGGATTTCTCCACACACGGACAGATCAGTTCCAGGTCAACCACGCCTGTTTCGGGGCCTGGCTGCCCTGAAACTGTCCGAGAACTGACTCGGTCAGCAGAGAAGCCAACAACCCTGGACGGTCCTTCCCTCTGCCGGCCTTTGCGGCCAGAGCCAGCCAAGGAGGGCGCCTTGGGTCCGGGTCCACCTGGAGCTCTGACCAAGCACCAGTAACTGCTGCTGCCGCTGCCACCGGCAAGCGCACATTTTCTGACCACGTCCCTAAAAGCAAGCAGGCCTCATTGGTCCACTCGAACGTAGCTCCGAAACCGCTGCGCTTAGTAGCCCCCCTGGTGAGAATCCTGAGAAGCCAAAGGGCTCCGGAAGGCCCCGTATTCAGTAAGTCAAACCTCGCAGGGTCTTGCGTGGCCAGAGTCCAGGATAGCCAGAGACCGGGGCCAGCAAGTCTTGCCCCCGCCCCCCAGTCTGCCTGCCACTGGAAGGGCCTGGAAGGAGGAAGAGCCGAGAGGGTGTCCTGGTCGGAGGCCCTTTGGGCGATACCAGGCAGGGGGCCTCCTATGCAGCCCTCTCCGTTCTGGGAGTGGGGCTGCTGGGGGAAGTGGGCGGCTGCGGCCATTTGGGCAAAGCTCATCCCCACTGTCGTCCTGTAGGTCTGAATCGGTTTGTGATTCTGGAGTCAGGAAGGTTGAAAAGCTTTTATTTGTCTTCCTTGGGGGGAAGAGCCAGCAAACCTGACGCTTCCCGCCTGAGCATCATGGAGCGGGCAGCAGAACATCTGGCCTGCCTTGGAGTGGAGCATGGGCAGGGAGCCTCTTTTGGCAATCCACAGCCCGCTAGAAGCCCAGAAGAGCTCCTCGCCTGTGGCCCCACAGCCTCTCTGCTCCTCCTCAGCTCCTGCTTCTTCTTTGCCCCCAAACTGAGCTGGCAATGACCTCATCCTTCCTGCACTTTGTCCCAGCCACTTCCTGTGGGTGGGTGGGAGGGTGTGGGGCAGCCCTGAAGCTCAGCTGGAGGCGCTGCTTAAAGCAGCAAGAGGCATTCTGGAATTCCCCTGCTCCCCCGCCAGGCCAGGCGCCAGGCTTGCCCTCCCCACCCTGGAGATCCTCGCCCACCCACTTCTCCCCTAGGAGGCAGGTGGCCAGAGGATTGGAGCCCGAGGAAGAGAGGCTTCCTCCCCCCCCTGCCTTGAGGGGAGGGGTCAGGAAGCCCCTTCCCTGGGGTCTCGGCTTCTGATATTGCCGCTGCCAGCAAAACTTATCTGCCTGGACATCACTTCCTCACCGCTTCCGGGCTGGGAGGAGACAAGGATGCGAACTGGCTCCAGGAGCCTGGAGGAGGCAGGAAGCCCTCCCTGCTGGGCCGGCCACTTCCAGTCCCACTCAGCTGCCTCGGGGGCTGGCTGGGCTGGGCTGGGCTGGAGCCTGGGCACAGCTGCCTTGCCAGACCTCACCAAGCGTTGCCCGGGACAGGTGTGTATCGAACTTGCAGGTTGGGTCTGATTGTGCATGGCTTTGGGGTTTTTTTTGGGGGGGGGAGAACTAACTGGCTGGAATGATGGCAATGAAATGCCCGGCGGAGGCACACGGCTCCTGCTGATGTCCCTCTGTGGGGTCTCGCCTGGGGACTGCTGGGTTCATGGCATGGTTAGTAGGTTTGGGCCAGGCGGGGCCTCCTCCACTCTGCCCTGGCCCAGGGGGCTCTTCCCACCTAGGGCGGGTCTTGCCTTGCCAGAGGGGCTCAGCCTCGGCGGCACCAACCCCAACCAGCCCAGAGGTTTCCATCGGACCGTTCCCTTCCAGCTGAAGGTCACCAGGTGGCGTTTGGCTGGGCTGGCAGGACGTGGGGATTCGGGGCCCAGCCCCCTCCTCCCCTTCAGAGCGCAGCTTCTTTGTCAGGCAGGGGGGCCGTCCAGCTGGGTGGGGCTGGGAAGGAAAAGGCTCCGACGGCCCTGGGAGAGCCAGAGGGGGGCTTGGGAGGTGGGGAAGGGCACCCAGCGAGTGGGGTGCCCCTCACTTTCGCCCCCTCTCCTTTTGCTTTGCCTGGAAGGAGGAATGTGCCGATCCTCCGGCCCCACTCATGGCATCTGGCCAAGCTCTCCGAAGTCCCGACTGAGGGTGCCGTCATGACCTTCCCTGCAGACCCCCTGAGTCTCTCCTGGCACTTGGGCTGCGAGACGAGGTGAGTGCCCGAGGAAAGAAGGGCGGGGGGGCTGAGGGGCTCCTGGGGGTCTGCTCCATCGGCAGAGGGAAAGGTGCCCTGTCTTGTCTGGGGCACAGGGGGCTTTCCTCTCGGAGCCCGGGCATCCTGGGCTGAGAGCGCAGCCGTATCCGCTGGGGCTGCAGAGAGTCAGCCGCCTTTTGTGCCCCAGTTGGGGAGACAGGAAGGGCCCTGGTGGTGGCCCCACAGCTCCGGAGGCCTGGCTTTCCTGCAGGGCTTTTGGGGCAGCCCCGGTGCCACTTCTCTGGCCAGCTGACCCCTTCCCAGAGCTCTGGCTGGACTGGGCACCATTGTGCCCATCCTGAGCGTTCCTGAGCAAGGGGGGCGATGGCACAATTTCCCTGGGAAGCCTTGCCTGCCTTTTGTCCCATCAGGAAGGGGGTGGCCCAGCGCCATGCAGGCTGCCAGAAAGCAGAGGAGTTCTCAGGGCAGGGCTGCTTCCTTGCAGGTAGCATCCCCAAGGACCCTCAGCTGCCAATATTCCCCTTCAAGGAGGGGTGGCTTCAGCTCCTTGCCAAGCGCGCAAGAGGAGCTGCCAAATCTCTCTGAGTTGGAGGATACAGCATGGCAGGCAGGACCCGCGTGCCTTTGGCCTGAGGAGCCGGGTGCCAATCTGGGCAGGGCTTCTCTTTTGGAGGAGCTGCTCCTATTTGGCATCCCCTGGATTGGGATCGGCTGGGTCTTTGCAGTGCAGAACCCACAGCGCCCCCCCCCCGGTTGGCACCGGCTCTCCAATGGGAGCTACAGCCTGGCAGTGGCTGGAGAGGAAGGGCTGCTCTGGAGCCCTGGGAAGACGGGGATTCGACGTGCCCCTGATGCCATCGCTGCTGGTGCTCCTCAGCAGCAGGCAGGCAGGCCAGGTGGGTCCTTGGTGGCACCTCGGGTCGCCCTTCTTGGCCTGAGCCCCAGTAGATGGCGGGACATCCCCTTCCCACCTCCAGGCAGGGCCCCTGATAGGAAGGACGGAGGGTCGAGGGAAGCCAGGTCTGGAGAGAGCCTGGGGAGGGGGGCTGCTGCGGCACCATCAGGCCTTGGGGAGCCAAGCAGGGCTGCCCTGCCCCTGTGACGTGGGGGCCTCCCCTTTCTTCCCGCCCCCAGTGACCTGCCCTTGCCGTGGAACCCTCTCTCTCCCCACTGCACCACAGACAAGAGCAGCTCCCTCGGCAGCATGGACAGTCTGGACCCGGCCAGCCAGACCTACTATGAGGGCAGCCTGTCCCCCGTTGACCAGGCCATGTACCAAAGCAAGCGGGACTCTGCCTACAGCTCCTTCTCGGCCAGCTCCAGCACCTCCGACTCTGCGCTGCGACCTGAGGAGGCCGGCTCTGTGGACGGCACCCAGCCTGGCCAGCTGCCCGAGCCTCGCTATCTGCAGACAGGGAGAGAGCCTGCAGGCCTGCCGTCCCCTGCTCCTGCTGCCCGGGGACCCTCCAGCCTTCCGCCGGGCTCTCTTCCCAGCCCTGCCAAAGCAGCGGCTGCCCCTCCCCGCCCGCCTGTGAGACAGGACAGCCTGCGTGCATGTAACTCCCCTCTGGAAGATCCAAGAGCCCCGACCCACGAGGGTGGTTTGTGTCCCGAGAATCGGTGGTGCTCGGACATCTCCCTCTGTGCCCCTGGCCGAGATCCCCAGGGGCCTGGGGGACAGCTGACCACCACAGGCCCCCTGAAGGACCCTCCATTCCCTGACCAGTACTACCTGCTGAGCTCACACACAGAGCCACACCCTGGGATGAAGAAGAGCCCACAAACCCCCCCCTCGCCTTTGGCTGAGAGCCCCCCCGAAGAGAAGGGGCCGGAGGTGGAGCCAGAGCCTCCCTCTTCCTGGAAGGCTGGCTGGGCCGGGCCCTTCGGCCATCGCCACAGCGTCCCAGAACACCTGCTGGTGGCCCAGTTGCAGGCCTTGGATGTCTCCCGTGGCCAGGAGGGCCCCAGCTGGACGGTGTCCCCGCTGCACAAGGAGCAGAAGGAGCGGCAGCCCCCAGAGCCGTGGCTGAACCCAGACCAGGAGCCCTGTGAGCCGGCAGGAGAGTTGGATTCCCCCTCAGCTGCAGAAGAGGGCTCCCCTTCCGGACGGGGCGCTTGTACGGCACAGGGGAGGCCCCAGAGCCCCCTCCTGACCCTGACTGGCTCCCCACCACTGCCTCCATTTGGCAATGCCAGCACCCCCCGGCCAGGCTTCCAGGCAGCCCCCCACGTGGATCACTTGCCAGATGCAGAAAGGGGCCTCCCAGCCGCCCAGAAGGGCCACCAGCGCTCTGCACAGATCCGCCGGCGCAGTGACCGCTTCGCCACCAACCTGCGGAATGAGATCCAGTGGCGGAAAGCCCAGCTGCAGAAGGCCAAAGGCCCCAGGGGGCTGGGGTGTGAAGAGGCAGAGGAGCCCCCCGCCCACCCCACGGCTCCTGCCCTGCCTCCTCCCTTAGGGGAGGGCAGACCCCTTGGCTCCTCTGGGCTGCCGGCCGTGCCCCCCAAGCGGTGGGGCTCCGAGCTGAGCGTGTTTGGGGAGCAGAGAGCCCCATGCAGCCCCCAGAGGATGCCTGGGGACCTGGTGCCCAAGGAGAAGCCTCTGCCATCGGCCCGTGAGGCTGGATGGGGAGGCGGCCGCTGGCGCTGGTCCCCAGAGCACAAGCTCCAGCCTCAGGAGTCCGAGCCAGGGCTGCCCGCACAGCTGCCTTTGGAGGAGGCCGGCCTTTTGCCTTTTGCTGACCGGCGGAAGTTCTTTGAGGAGACCAGCCGCCCGCTGCCCGCCAGGCCCTACGGCTCCCTTCAGGGCAGGCTTGAGAGCACCCGGACCACCGAGGCAGAGAAGCTGGGAAGCACTGAGCACGGGGACTTCCGGCGTCACTCCCTTGACCAGTCCTACCGGTGCCCACCTTCACCTCCCATCCACCAGCCAGAGAGTCTGAGGTTGTGCAAGTCCCTGGCACGACCCGGTGTGGGCGCTGAGCATTGGTGGGCTCTTCCTTGCTCGTGCGCCATCCGAGAGGCCTGCGCCTGCAGCTTTAGGGATGAGTGCGCCATGCTGCAGTCGAGGAGCAGGCCAGGGCCACGCAGCCACCGCACCCACCATTGCCACCCGTGTTCCTGGAGCTGCCACAGTGAGTGCTGTTGCCTAGGTCAGCAGAAGCTTCTGGAGAATGGAGGTCCCTGGCAAACAAGGAAGCCTCTTCAGAGGGTAGGTTGGGTTTTCCCCTAGTGGGGGACGGGGGAGAGGCCCTCGGCTGCTGGGATGGGCCTCATCCCCTTTGCCCAGGCTGGGAGGGGCTCTGTGGTCCATCCCTTCCCCTCACCCTCCTCTCCTGCCTCCCAGGAATTCTCCCCGGACGACGGATGGGAGCCCCCAGCTGTGGACAGAGCCAGCAGCCAGGCTGTGAGGTAAGCATTTGCCAGGCAGGACAGAAATGGGCTTGGCTGGGTGGCCCTCTGGGCTGCCTGCTGGGGAGGGAGGGGGCCGGTGTCTCTGAGAGCCTCTCGTGGAGGTAGACCCTAATCTGCCCCTGCTTCCCTCACCCTCCCATGAAGGGCTCAGAGAGGCCGATGGGCGCGTCTCCTCTGAGAGCGGGTTGGGAGCCGGTCGGTCTCCCCTGTCGGGCGCTCTGAGGCTGGCCCAGGCCTGGCACGCTGTGGGATCCCTGTAGAACTGGGTCTGCCTAAGTGGACGGAGTGCTGGCCTTTTGCTCCGCTGCTCAGGTGTGGGGGGGGGGAGACCCCTTGGGCCCTGGCCTTTGACAAGCAGCTGCCCTGTGGGGGAGGCCAACTTGAGGCAGCCGCCAGCTTGGCTGCCACTCATCCGCTTTTGCCTGGCCAAGTGAAATGAGTGTTCTTGGCCAGAATTAGTGGGCCCCGACAGCTAAGAGACCCTCATTCCTTCCTCAGAGCCGCCACCCATCCACCCGCCCACCCTCGTGCCTGCAGCCCCTCCTCCTCTTTTTTCCAGCCAGCTCCTGCAGCACAAGGTGACCTATGCCAGGGTCAGCCCCTCCTGGGCCTGCTTTGAGTACACCGAACCGGCTGGGCCTCCTTTCTGCCGGGTCCCATCCACACCCAACCTCTCCTGGGACTGCGAGCGGCCAAAGTGGGTCACGGAGAAGGGCGGCTCGGAAGGGGGGCTCAACGAGTCCCACAAACCCCCCTTGCGCGAAAGGGCCTATTCGGAGAGCCACCTCTGCGTCGAACCTGCCGGTGTCTCTGCGAGGGATTGGCAAGAAGCCCCTTTGGCCAAGGCAGAGGAGAGAGCACCAAAGTCACCACCATGCCAAGCCAGAAAAAGGAGGCCCCCTCCTCCGCGCCCTCCCCCACCCAACTGGGAGAAATACCGCCCAGCCCGGGCCAACCTGTCCGTCCATGCACAGGACTGCTGGGCCCCGGGCCAGCCTGGCTTCGAAGCGGCCAGGCAGCGTTCTCAGAGCCTCCCTGCGGAGCAGCCTTGGCACAACAGGCCACAACTGCAGTGCCCGCGGCTGCCTTCTACTGGACCCGATGGCGCCCCTCCCTTCCCAGACAACCCTCACTACTATTGCCACGGTTCACCCCCCCAGACCCCGGAGAGGCTGATGGGCGAGGCAAGTGACCGGCGTGCCTCATTCAGGCAAGTGCCTTCCATTGGTTTCCGCTTTCCCTGTCCCAGAAGTGGGGAGGGTTGGGAGGAGCGTCCCCAAGGCATTAGCTGAGCCCGTCCTGCCCTTCCCGCAAGTTGCACCAGGGTCCAACCTGCCAGATGAGGTGCAGGGAGGGCAAGCAAGGGGGGCTGTGACAGCCATGCCAAGGAGAAGGCGCTCTCTGCCTCTCATCTTCCCTTTAGGGCAGAGAAGGGTGCACAAGACCCCTGGAGAATCAGCTGCCCCCCAGCTGTGCCTGCAAAGGGAACGGCCTGGGCTTAACAAGAGACGGGTTGGTTTTGTGCTTACAGGGCAGCCAGTTCCTCGGAGGGGGCAGCTGCCAAGGAGCCTCCCTGGGTGGAGGAGCAGCAGATGCCATCCGGCAGTCCCTCAGAACAGCCCCTTACCTGGCGTGAGTCTGTTTCCTTTGGGGTGTGGCGGAGGGTCTGCTTGGAGGGCAGCGCTGCTGGCTTACACCTTCTGTGCCCACCAGAGCCCCAGCAGGGTGTGCCTGTGTCCCAGAACGCTGTGAGAGAGAGTCATGCATCAGGGCCGCCGCCCCTCTCACGCCTGAATTCGGAGGAGCTGATGAGAGACGTGGCAGGCAAGGACCACTCTCTGGCCGGAGTGCTGAGCTCTGGCTTCGGATTGCGGTCAGCAGCTGAGGTGATGGGTGAACTCTTTGCTGCAAGCAGCTGTGCTCTCTGGCCAAGGCAGGACTGGTCACTGCTGGGGAGTGGTCCCAGCTGCCCTGAAAGGTAGGCACCTTCGGGCTTTGCAGCCTGGGGGAAGGGAGAGAGAGAGTCGGTGCCAGCACGAGAGCCAGACTGACTTCTGGCTGCAGCACCCAGCCTGGCTTGGGGAGAGCTGAGTCCGGAGGCCAGTTCTTGCGCCAGGGCCCCTTGGGTGGTCCTGGGCTGATGACCTTCTCACAGGTTGCTGGGATTAGAAAATGGTGGTGGTGGGGGGAGAGAAAGCAGGGTTGTGCTGCCCTGAAGCAGTGAGGAAGTGGAATGGCATAGGCCGATGCAGCTGGGCTGCTGGAGCCTCCGTTTCCTTTCAGGGATGTTGTCGTGCGCCCCCCCCCCCCCCCACCCCGGATGGCAGACCAGCCTCTTCTCTCCCCCCAACCTGTACCCCCAATGCGTCCTTTTCTGTAGGCAGCAGAAGCCTTCCGAGCCCCCCTCTTGCTTGACTTACCTCAACCTGTCGGCGGGCAAGGCGGAGCTGCTAAACCAAATGAAGGACTACTCTGAGTTGGCTGCAGCCGCCCCAGAAGAGGAGCCGGACCACGACCTGGCTCAGAAGAAGGTGAGCAGATCGGTGACCCAGAGAGTCCGGGGCCTGAGCAGCCAGCTCAAGGCCCTGGATACGGAGGCCCTTGGCTCCAGGGGGGCACCAGGAGTCTTGGGGGTCTTGGGGGAGCATCTGCGAAGTCCCAGCAGGGCTGACAGCCGACCAGCCTTTAGTTGGGACCATGTCTCCCTCGAAAACACAACCCCTTGCAATCTGGGCTCCCCCTGAATCTTCCCAGGCAGCCACTGACCTCTCCGCTCTGCAGGTGCAGCTGATCGAGAGCATTGGGCGGAAGCTGCTGGTGCTGCAGGAGGCCCAGCAGAGCCTGCAGGATGACCTGAGTGCCAATGCGGCCCTTGGCAGAGAGGTGGAGAATTACATCAAAGGGGCCTGCAAGCCCCACGAATTGGAGAAATTCCGCCTCGTCATGGGCGACCTGGACAAGGTGGTCCACTTGCTGCTCTCGCTGTCTGGGAGGCTGGCCCGAGTGGAGAACGCCCTCAGGGGGCTGAATGTGGAGGAGGAGGAGGAGGAGGAGGAGAAGGTGAGCACTGAAGGGGAGAGGGAGGGCAGGCTGCTGAGGGTGGCTGGCCTGCCCTGGCAGAGCGGAGCTTCCCTGCAGCAAAGCTGCCCTGGGTCCTCCGTTGCCCCCTGATGTGACTCTGGCTGTGTGTGCTGGGTCGCCACCAGGCCCAAACAATGGCAGCGGGTTGCTCCTTGCCTGCAGGGCACAGGGTGGGGCTCCCCCCACGAAGGCTATGCCACTCTTCCTTCAGATAGAAACAGCCATGCAATTCCACAGTGCTGGGCTTCCGGTTCATCAAAGGGTACCCAGCCCCACAGCTGGCAGCCCTGGGCTGCACCACACTGCTTCCCCAGGCCCTTGGCAGCGCCAGTCCTGGCAACCATAAGGCCAGGAGTTTGCGGTGCAGCCAGTTTGACCCCCTTTCCTGCCCTGGTGGGAACTCCAGTGCTGCTTCTTAGATCCAGCCCTGGGCTCTGCAGCCAGCATGGGGCTCCTGACCTGAAGAGGCCCCAGGCGTGGCCAGCACTGACCGGGTCTTTCTCCTCTTCCTCCTCTCTCCTGCTGCCCCCTCCCCCAAGATGGCCCTCTTGGAGAAGAAGCGGCAGCTGACAGCACAGCTGGAGGATGCCAAGGAGCTGCAGGAGCACGTGGCTCAGCGGGAGCAGCTCGTCTTTGCCAACGTCTCGCGCTGCGTGGCCCCCGAGCAACTGCAAGACTACCAGCACTTTGTGCGCATGAAGTCCACCTTGGCGATCCAGCAGCGGCAGCTGGACGATAAGATCAAGCTGGGCGAGGAGCAGCTGCGTTGTCTCTGGGAGAGCCTCCCTCGGAGGCCCCGGAAGCCCTAGAGGAGCCAGGGCCCCACTGGTTGGGGGGAGGGCTGCCTGCAAGCTGCAGGGCCTCCGTGAACTTCTGCCCTCTGGAAAGCCTTTTGCCAAAGAGCTGTGCCTGCTCCTGCCCTCACCCACATGCCTTTTGCCACAAGGATGCGCCCGCCTGCAGTTAGGGTCAAGGAAAGGCGGCTGGGGGGGTCCTCGCAGCCACCCCACAAACTACCCGGCTGGCTAGATGAGGGGACCATCCCTTCCAGGGGCCACACAGCCTAGCACGGACATCGTCTCCCTCTCACCATACTGTCCGAGCTCCACTGTGGGGACCCGTTGCTCACCTTAAGTGCCTCCAAGCCACAAAGCGCCCTTTTCTGTTGGTCCCTGTTATTTATTTTCTGCTGTTGCAACATTAGAGTCTGTTTCCAAGTGAAATGTGGATCTGGGCCAGGTGGCTGATGGGCTGCCCAAGAGCACGACACGGGCTGCTTCGGAGCTCATGTGCACAGCAGCTTCCCCAGAGAGTCCAGCCTTGGCCCAAGGAGCCCTGCCAGGGGCATCGCATCTCCGTGGCATCTTGCCCGTATCCCCAAGTAAGCCCTGGGCTGCTGCTTCAGTCTTCCCAAGGAGGGACCCAGGTGAGAGCAGCCGCAGTCGCTGCAGCCAGCTTTGCGGGCCTTGCCTTGCCTTCTCCTGCGGGCTCAGGTGGCAGCCGTCCAGCAGCAAAATGGTGCCAGGGTTAGGCTGTGCCCCCTGCAGCCCAGGGTCAGGTGAGGGTCAGGCCTGGAGAAGCCGGCTTTGCAGGGGCTGTGGTCAGACCCCTAAGCCAGCGATGGTGGAGGGACAGCAGGCATAGAGCCAAGCCTGCCTTTCTCCTGTGCTACGAGCTGGCTGCCTTAGTGGATCCATGGGCAATCCATCCCCCCCTTACCAGCTCTTTCCCTCGGCCTTGGCCAGACAGCCCTGCCCTGGGAGGGGGTCTCCCTTCCATCTTCCCGGCATGGCCTGAAGCTGACATTCCCTTTTGGTGGGGACTGGAGAACAAGGGCTGCTCTTCCTCCCTCTCCTGTATCCGCCAGGGAGGAATGTGTTGGGATCCTGCCATGGCTATTGTGGCCCTAACATCCTCTTCCTCTCCATTGTCCTTGGACCAGTGCAGGAAGCCAAGTCTGCCTGGCTTCACCTCTTCAGGGCTGGGCTGCCTGGAACTCACACATTCTTGCCTGGAGGAGGAAGGTGGGGAGGAAGGCCCGGGCTGGGCTGCCTCGGCCTGCTGGGCCTTGAGAGGAGGAGGAGTGGAAATCCCACCCCTGGGCTCCCGACAAGCAAGGAAGGTGGGCGGCTTCTCCCCTTTCACCCCCCAAGAGGGAGACCCACTGTTTCCAGAGCAGCTTCTCGACCGGCTGCTGCTGCTGCCCTCCAGAGCTAGGGCCGGGGCTGCTCCAGAAGGGCCGGTCCTTGGCCTCTGACTGCTTCCTGCCTCGGGCTCCTGAGGAGGGACTCGCCATCCTTCCTTTGAAGAGCTGGGCCGGCCTTTATCCTTTTGGGAAATCTGGGCCTGCCCGCTGGCGTCTTCTGGAAAAGGACTCGGATACAACAGCCCATAATCACCACCGAGCAACTTCGTTTCTACTTTAGCCTCTGCTGGTCCTGGAACAGCCCTGGGAGTGGGGCGTGGGTGCAAGTCCACCATTTTGGAAGCTGGAGTGGGGAGGCAGCGGCCGAAGTCACAAGTCAGCCTCTCTCTGCTTTTCCCAGGCCAACCTTGGAAATTCACCCTGTCTCTTCTCCAACTGACCCCCTCCTCCCCACAAGTATTTCCAAGCCTTTTGTGGGGAGGTGGCTGTAAAAGTGTGGCACACATATGTGCATGGAAAAGAGGTCAGGTTGCCTGGGACTCTCCAGGCCCAGCTTCTGGCTGTCCAACACAGGGCTCTGTATGGAGTGGGAAGGAGCTCTGTGCAGCCTGGGAGCTTGGCGATTGCCAGCTTCCCCTTCCTCCTCTCCCATGCCTCCCACCTGCAGCTCCCTGTACTTATTTGCAGGAACAGGGTTGTTCCCTGGCCATTTCTGCCCCCTCTCCCTGCCTGGCTTGCTCTAAGCAGCTGCTGTGCCCAAGCAGCCCCTCCTCAGCGCAGGTGGAACCCAAGTGCCAACTCTGGAGGCATGTTGCTATGTGATTAAATGCATGAGTTGCTGGCTGTAATTTTGTGCTTCCTACACACCAAAGAATCTATGGTTCCTGTCCAACGTTTCCACAGCGAGATCTCTTCAGTTGTGTTTCCAAAGGTGTTCTGACACCACCACCTCCAGCAGTTTGTGCCTTGGCTACGGGTGCAATTATGGGAAGGGGGGGAGGCAGAATCACGTGTTGTATTAAATTGGTGCTAAATGGGTTCCGGCTCTGCGTGGCTTCTGTTCAGGGTGAGGGGAAGCCCCCGCCTGCTCTGAAAGGGGGCAGATTTTTATTCCTATAAGGCAAGTGAGATAGGGGAGGGGGCTTCCCACTTCTAAGGGGAAAGCAGATGGCAATTTGCCAAGGTTCGCTTGCTCTGGGCAGAGGCAGAAGGCTCCCCAGATGGCTGGGCAACTGGCTAGAGTTCCAGGATCGAGTCCCTGGCACGATGGGCTCCTCTCTTGAGGTTTCAGATGACTCATGGAGGCAGGCAACAGCCCTGGAAATGTGGGCAGCTGTCCACGTGCAGCACTGACGGTGGGGCCAGGCTCCAGCAGCTGTGTGCATTGGGGTGGAAGAATGCCTTGCAGGCCATTCCTTCAGTGCAGACAAGGGCCAGAGCCTGGCATCTAATGGCAGCAGTTCCAAGGCTGGGTGGCGGAGCTGCAGAATCCGAGGTCTCCTCTGTTGAGGAATATGACACGGTTGCCCTTTAGTGGCCAGCCAAGCTTTGCCCAGGCCACCTGCCCTTTCCCCAAGGGAACTTGGGCTGGCGGGCACAGCACAGCCTCCTGGAGCTCCCGCTCCATTCACCCCAGCAAGATGTTGAATTGGGAGGGGTGGGCAAGCCAGGCTTTAGGGGTTGAATGGCTCTGCCGCCTCTGTCCCGTGGTGCATTTGGCTAGGCCCACGAAGCCAAGAGGCAGCTGAGGGGAAGCCAGAGGTCACCTGGAGGCTCATTTGCCCAAGGCCCTTTCTGCAAGCGAGAGGCAGACCCACCTGGCTGCTCCTTGGCTGGAGTAGAACCCCTCAAGTCCCCCTCCGCTGTGGTCTGCCTCTCTGGGGACCCCTTCTGTCTTCCTTGGCTGGGTTCCCAGCTGCCCTCCCGTGGATAGGCTTCTACACGGGCCCATCCTCATTTCCCACAATGCCCCCAGCCCCACTCGCTAGCCTGCTAGAGCTGGGGAACAGGCGTTTCTCGATTGGCTGGAGTTTATGGGGGATGCAGGCCGCCTGACCGACGCTGCTCTGGAGCCGACTCGAGATGAGGAAGAGAAGGTAGAACCAGGGCGCCCGGCAGGCGGTGTCGGGAAGAAAAGGGAGCCCCAGCGGAGGCGCCCTCGTTCTTCCCGGTCTTGGGCCAGAAGGCGGCGATGAGGAGTCGCCCTCGGCCCGAGCGCCAAGCAGCGGGTGCAGCCTCGAGTGCTGAGGATCCAGGGCTCTTTATGGGTGGCGCAAAGTTCTTAGGAAAGGCTGGTTCAACATCTGGGCAGGGGAGGGGTGAGAATTGCCCAGAACACCGTTACTACCGCGTCTTCCGTGTTGTTATTGCCTGCCGGTTGAGCAAACCAACTTTACCTAACTAAGCCTGCGGTCCGGATTCTCATTATGCCCCCACCCGCCCCCAACCAGGAGCTCAGCGCGCGGCCAGCCAAGTCGGGCCGGCCTAAAAGGTACTCAGGTCTTCATCCCGAAACCCAAACCCGCCTCCTGGTTTTGATCCACTGGCCGCCCGCGAGCTTAGTATACGATGTAGTGTTTCGTGGGAACGCAGGCCGCCCCGGGGTTCCCGCCTCCTCCCGACCTCCGCGGCTCTGTGCCCTGAATCCATCTCTTCTTCGCCCCCCTCCCGCCAGGTGCCTGCTTGAATTCGGGCTGTTGCGCATGGTGGACTCACGGCCAACTGCATTTGCTTCGACCAAGCCCGGCTTAGTGTGCTGAGAAGCAGGCCGAGAGCACAACGGGGCCCTCCAGCCGCCGCCGCTCTTGCAAGCGAAGCGAGAACGGTTCGAATCCGCCCGGGAGGGAGGCATCCTCGGGCCTTTTCCTAAGGAGGACAAGAGGGTCGCCTCCTTGGCCCTGTTGCCGGCTGCCACCGGGGCTGTTGCGGCGTCGCAGCGCCTGATTTGGGGGCCGGGCGGAGGAAGTGTCTCGGGGTCCATTCCTCCGGGTAAAAAGGCCCTTGACTGCTCCGGGTGGGAGAGGGGCGGGGAAAGGGGTTGTTTTCTCGGCGGCGGGCGGGACCGGGGAGCACTGCAGCGTCGGCTGGCGGGAGGAAGCAAGAGCTTGTGGCGACCGCGAAGCGTCGAGGAGAGGCGAGGAAGCGACACGTGCCGCGGCGGTGACGGAGCCGGAGCGGCTGCCGTTGCGGGAGGGCTCGCTCGGCCTGGAGGCTCCGGGGAGCTGCACCTGGTGACGAGGGCGACACGGACGGGCGCGCGCTCCCCGCGGCGCTGCGGAGACGCAGGCGGGGACGCTGCCTCGCCTCGGGCCAGCGGTTTTTCTCCCGCCGTTGCTAGGCGGTAGGTCGCCCGCTGCGAAGTCGGGGCCGCCAAGGGAGAGCGGGGCCGGGCTGCCGCCCCCAGCGCCGCCCCCGCCCCGCCAACCACCTGTTCGCCGGAGGGGCCGAGCGGGAGCCGAGCCCCACGCGGCCTCTCCAGGGAAAGGCGGCGGCTTTCTGGCCGCGCAGCCCCCCGGCGCGGCATTCAACGAGGTGGGTGGCGACGGGGGACGGGGGGGGGGCGCGAGGAGCGGGCGCGCTCCCCGGCCTCGGGAGGAGGGTGAGCTGGGTTTCTCTCCCTGTTTACGGCTGGGGGGTGCAAAAGAGGAAGCGGTTCCGGAGGGCCCCGTGGCTCACGCCCGCCCCTGCCTCTCCTTCAGGGGAGCGCGCCGTCTCCCCGAGCGGAGGATGGCCGAGAAACTGCCCCCCCCGGGGGAGCTGTTCCTGCGCAAGGGCCGCGAGTCGCTGGTCTCGCTGGAGATGGACCGGCTGGCCCCGGGCGAGGAGTCCTCGGACAGCGAAGGCGAGCAGGAGGGCGGCTCCCACAGGCTCATCCGCAAAGTCTCCACCTCGGGCCAGGTGCGGGCCAAGGTAAGAAC